TTTTTTTTTTTTTTTTTTTTTTTTTTTTTACTTTACCCTTTTCCACTTTGTTTTCACCTTGGCTCTCCATTTCTTTAACATTTTTATCTTGCCCAGTTACAGCACTTCTTGCCTTTCCTACAAAATCAATCTTTTCTTTGGAATAGGAACAGGAAGTTTTACATCTTTTTACTTTCACCTAAGTACACACAGCCATGATCACGTGAATGAAAAGTAACAATCTATTTGCAAAGAGGAGGTTCCAAGATGAAGATTTCTTACATCCAGAAATTAAAATTTATGGCAAAAGAAAAACATAAGCAAGACCTACAAAGACTTTAAAAAGCGACTCTGTGAGACAATTATTTCTGCTAGAATGAAACTTACCTTCTTGCTGCTCTCATAACTTGAGTCTGACATTTCCAGCAAGGCGGCAAAACCAGCAATGTTAGAGATATCTGCAGTTTACTCCTTTTAACCTGAGGGTTTATGGCTTGATATCTCCTTTTATAAACAAATGTCTCCTTCTACTTCCTGTTACCCAGATGAGCTCTAAACGGAGCACTTTCCTCTTTTTACCCCTCCCTCATTGTGATAATTTTACCAGTTTTATACCCTGTCTTGCTCATTAGGTGATAAATTGAATTGTTGAGTAACTAGTATCCATTCTTGTTTTTTAAAAAATTAGATTTGTATCTTTATTTCTTTAAGGTGTGACTTGGTAGAAAACTGGGTGTGACAAACTCTCGCTGATAAGTTACAGTTGAATGAACAAGATATTTTAGAACAGTTTTAAGACAATATTTGTGATAGATTAAATTATTTATTATGTAGGGAATAAAAAAAAGATTCAGAGGATTTTATTTTATTTTATTTTTTAAAAGATGACCAGTAAGGGGATCTTAACCCTTTACTTGGTGTTGTCAGCACCACGCTCACCCAGTGAGCTAACCGGCCATCCCTATGTAGGATCCGAACCAGTGGCCTTGGTGTTATCAGCACCACACTCTCCCGAGTGAGCCACGGGCCGGCCCTCAGAGGATTTTAAAGAGGTATTTATAACTGATTTGTGCCCATGGGTGTGTCACTCACTGGGAGACCCTAGCTTTAAATTATGGTGGTTGGATAACATCATCTCTCTTAGATCTGGTTCTAATTACCAATATTAGGCTTGCAATAATATTGAGGTAGGCAGAAGGGATGGGTTTGGCTGTTCCGAATGGGCAAGAGCCAAAACACTAAAGCAAATGATGGAGTAATGAATGCAGAGTAAGGAACTGCAAGCACTTGGGAATTGCTGGAGCATAATGTAGGAGGCAGGATGTGGCCAGAGATGAAGATGTTCTCATAGGTCACTCTAAGGAGCCAGAGCTACTGAAGGAAACTGTTATTCACAAATAATATGGCAGCACTGAGACCCTTTGCCCTTAAAATGGGCTTTATCTGCCCCTAGAAAAATAGCTTTGTCCATTAGTCTCGGGACCCAGGGGTCAGTTTAATTTAGAAGTGTAATATGTAAAGGCTCAGCTTCAGTTTATTGATGAGGAACTGGCTGGAAATATAAATTATGAAGTCCTACCCCAGACTTCCTGAATAGGAGTCTTGAAGATGGGACCCAGGAATTTGTGCTTCAACAAGCCCTTAGGGTGATTTTTACTCTCCTGAAGACCAGAAGAATTGGCTAGAACAGGATTTGACCAGATGGCTTTGAGAGGCAGATAATGTTTGGAATCCCGGCTCCTCCCTTCCAGGATGGGAACTGAACATAGCCCATGGAAACTCAGCCAAGAAAGCACTCCACCTACCCAAGAAAGCATTCCCTTCCCTCTGAATTGCCTAGAAAAAGCAGCTGGGTGATTCAGAGGGAAGCAGATCTGGTGGCCGGAGCTAATCCTAGTGCTTTACACTGGAACAGGACTTTAAGTGGGAAGACCATCTTATTACCATATTTTATTTTCTTCCCAGCATTTAAAACAATATAACTGTCTTCTTTTCCTGGGATTTTGGGTTTTTCTTTCTGCTTTTTAAGGATGCTATATTATGGGAAAGTTCAAATATGTACAAAAGCAGACAATAGTATCATGAATCCCATGTATCTATCATACAACCTCAGCAGTTACTGACTCCCAGCCAATTTGCTTTCATCTAAACCTCCACCCACTACCCCTCCCCTGGGTTATTTTGTCTTTTTTTTTTTTCCCCTGGCAGTTAGCAAGTACAGGGATTCGAACCCATGACCTTGGGTTGGTGTTATGAGGCTGCACTTCTAACCAACTGAGCAAACTGGCCAGTCCTCCCTGGGTTATTTTGAAGGAAATACCAGACCACATATCATTTCATTCATAAACTCAGAGAAAACAAAACAAAACATTTTTTTCCTACCATAACTACAATATTTTTTATATCAAAATAATTTAAAACATTTATTTAATATTATCAAACTATTCAAATATACACCATGTTCAAATATCCAGCCATATTCAAAATTGCAACTATCTCATATATTTTTCTCTTCTCTCATTTTCTTTGAATCAAGATCTAAATAACATCTACATATTGGGATAAGTTGATAGGTGCTTTAAGTTTTTTTATATTTTTGGTGGCTAGGCCAGTACAGGGATCTGAACCCTTGACCTTGGTGTTACAAGGCTGTGCTCTAACCTACTGAAGTAACGGGGCCCTTAAGTTTCCCTTTAATCTATAAATTCTGTCTCCATCTCTTACTTCTTCTTACAATTTTGTTGTTGTTGTTGTTGTTGCTATTATCATTGAAAAAACTGTAAGTTTTCTGTAGTTTCTTTTTTTTTTTTTTTTGGTGGCTAACTAGATGGTATGGTGATCCAAATCTGTTGCCTTGGTGTTACCAGCACTGTGCTCTCCCAAGTGAGTAACCAGGCAGCAACTTCTGAAGTTTCTCATCTCGATTTTCTTCCATTTAGAAAATTAATTTACTAAATGAATAATGAATTTCCTCCATTTAGCCTATTTCTCTAGC